GAGATAGTCTATATCCATTTGTAAATTAGTATTATCAGAAGATGAATGTATTTTACGCCAGATTTTTGTATCATCGGCATACAAAACAATATCAGTATTATCCGAAAGGCCAAGAGGAATATCATTGATAAACAATACAAAAAGTAAGGGACCAAGAATAGAGCCCTGGGGGACACCAGAATTAACTGAGAGGGTAGATGACATCTCATTACCAATAACCACTCTTTGGTAACGGCCTTGAAGGTAATTGGTAAGAAATTTGAGAAGTGTACCATCAATGTTATATAAGGTCTTTAGCTTATGAAGAAGGATATCATGATTTACAGAATCAAATGCCTTAGCAAAATCAAAATACACAACATGATTGATAATGTTTTCGTTAAGAGACAATGCCAGGCTATCACAAAAGTCAACCATATTGGTTGTGCATGACTTGTGCTCTAGAAAACCATGCTGCCTGGGATCAAGAAGGGTACTTGTCAAAGAAAGCAGTTTACGTTTAACAATGCGCTCAAAAACTTTCATGACTAAACAAGTAAGGGATATTGGTCTATAGTTTTCAACCTCACTTTTCTTACCTTTCTTAAATATTGGGACAACATTTGCAAGTTTCCATTCTTGTGGAATGTAGCCGCTGTTGTAAGATCCACGAAAAATGCATGTTAGAGGGTAAGCTAAACCTACGGAACAATTTTTGAGAATTTTACCGTGTATGCCATCTGGTCCCTGGGCTTTATTTGAATTAATATTTGAAAGAAGCTTACGAACATCCCGATGATCGAAGTCAATATCAAAATCAAAATCATTGACATAGGAGATGTCAGTGTCATAAAGTGAAGGATCCGAAAACTGGTTATAAAAGAAAGAATTGAAAAGTTCAGCTTGAGCTTTGGGTTTGAACCGAAGCTGTCCAGAATAACTAACACAATTAGGAATACGGCAGGAGTTAGATTTATACTTAACATGTGACCAAAACTTCTTAGTTATAAGCGCTGGATCATCACTATTGAAAAGATTGTCTCTTATTTTGGCTGATGAAAGCCTCTTAAAATCTTTACGGCTAGTAACAAACTTTAACTCATCAGAAATAGAACCAGAAATTTTAAATTTAGCTCTGAGTCTATCTTTTTTACGGCATGAAGAAAAAAGTTCACTATCGAACCACGGGGGTTGAAACTCTGATTTAATAGTTACTTTAGGAATATGTATATCAACTAAATTCATAATGCAGTCTTTAACTAACTTCCAAGACGAATCAGGATCTAGGCATTCTAGGACTTGCCAATTAATCGAGCATAATTCACGATTAATCATGTCCCAGTTTGCTTTCTTATAATTATAGATTTTACGTTTAGGAGTTTTCTTGCGGGAAAAGGAGCTTTTAATTGAAAAAGTGACAGGAAAATGATCAGATTTGCACACGGAATGAGGATCACAGACATTCAAGTTATCGATTGTGTTATCATAATTAGTGAGAAGAATGTCTAATGTATTACCACTTTTATGGGTGGGTGATGTGATCAACTGGGAGAGAGAAAGATCACTGAAAGAATCTATGAAGGATTGCTCAATAGGTACGGTACTGGATGAAGATAGCCAGTCTGTATGGGGGAGATTAAAGTCACCAATAACATAGATTTTAGGGGGATTCTTTTTGGAAACTAGCTTGCGAATATAACTAACTATGACATCATGATTAGGTAACCCAAGAGTTCCTACTCTATAACAAGTACAGATTACAATACTCTCTTTGTTAGGAAAAGCAATTTTAACAGCAAGCATTTCTGCACCTAGGCTAACTGGTAGTCGGGTTGTAGTGGCGTCGAGATCAGACCGAACAGCCAAAAGAACACCACCTCCATTTTCCCTAAACTTTTTAGGGTTATTAGGATCTTGAGGATGAGTCTTTCTCGTGCGGTCATTGCGGAAGATTTCATATTGAGAAGAAGGAAAGATTTCGTTGCTAGAAATAGATTTTTTGAGCCAAGTCTCATTTAGGGCAATTATGTCAGGCTGCTCTATGTTAGCAAAGGATTGAAGTTCGGAAATCTTATTACCATCAAGAAGGGGATGGGAGGAGCTTAGGTTACTGAAAGGAATAAGACCTTGGACATTTTGGTAGAGTACAGATAGGGAGTTGGGACCTTGATTAAGCATAGAAGGATTAACAAGAGTTATCAAAAGAAAGTTAAGAGAGAAAACCCAAAGAATGAATAAAGAGACTAGACGCCTGAGGCGGCTGGAATACTTGGCTCTATTCATCTTACCAGGGAGAAGAACATTTCTTATAAACCATGAGGAGATAATTACAAAGAAAAGTTTGATGTGGGAGCAAGCAAGAAATGGTATAAGATAACGTGGGCTGTCAAGGAGTAGAGAGGAATAAATATTAGAATCTAGGGGGAGTACAGTGTTCATGGACCTAGTCGTGGAGAGAAGAATTGGGAGAAAGTAAGTCATGATGAGAGAATAGAAGAGAAACATATGATTATGATAATTGTAGTTGATGTGTGGGGTGCATGGAGACTTAAATGTGTAAATTTTGTTAGGTATAAACGTGTTGATATGTATATGTGCATTTCTTGACTGTGTACGAGGCCTTTTGCATGCAAAAAGACCTATTCTAAGTCTAAACGATTCATTGTCTAACATATGGGAAAATGGGCAGTGACCGAATGTACCTGAAATAGGAGGCATACAATTGAGAAAAAGATTAAATCAGAGATTTGTTTGAGTTTTAATTTTAGGCGCAACGACTTAATCAAAATATTAAATGAAAGAAAAGATCAAAGATTTAAATTCCCAGAAGATTATTTACAACCCTGTCAAAACTGTGTTTGTTTACAACAAACTTAAGCCAAGTGGACAGTAAACCTACTCCTCTCATGTTGAGATGAAGCCAATCATGGTATAGAAGTTCATTACAGGATCTAAAGTCTCGAGTTAAAAAGTCTGAGAAACAGTCTAAGAACACGCAATTATTATTTAGGCATAACTCTTTAAGTAGATTATTAAAATCTAGAACATTCTTTGCTATGTAGGAATATAAACACTTAATAGGAAGACAACATTGGATAATTATAATTGCAGCGGGAAATAACTGCTTAGTGGTGTCAATTAAGTCATTAAGATACTTCCTAAGGAACTGAACCCCATACTTAGAATGTTTTATGTCATTTGTACCAACACTCAATATAATCTTTTCAATATCGTCAGCTTCTGCAGCTGCATGAGTTTTATGAAAATGCTGAATATTTTCAGTGATGTCTCTAATTTTTGCACCACTTTGGGACACATTGATCACTTTCCTTCCCCGGAATCCCAACTTATTTGTCCGTACGAATTTTGTCATTGACGTACCAAACAGGACAGTGGTTTTCCTGCTCTTCGGTTTTCTTGGAGCATTTCGGTAGTAGAGGGTTGGTGTTGAGGTGGTGGTGGGCGGCAAAGGAATTGTAGTGAAGACATTCTGCTCCCTGACTACATTTGTATCTGTCTTCGGTATCTGGCAGCGAAAAGATAAGCTATACCGAGTCTCCTTAGCTGATCTGTCTGCACGAACCTTGTGAGGACAATATTCCTGACACCCCGGTTTCATAATATACAAACTACAGTCCTTTGGGGTGATATGGCATTTACTGTTACATCGCTTATCACCATTTTCTGGAATTATGTCGAGGGTCCTCTCAGCTCCAAATGAAACTACATAAATACCTTGCGACTGGTCAAGAGACACCTCGTCGTCGTTGTGGTACCTAGTTGCACAAGAACCAGACTTGTACATGCTTGCTAGGCATGAGTTTAGCTTGCAGCCAAACTTGGAGTTGATATCATGCATAAGCTCTGATATCCCAGGATAATTTAAAATATCGATTGGCTCCTTAGTCGTGGTGTGTCCATTTGAGGAAGACCATACATATTCTTCTCCAGTGGAAGTGAGCCACTTTGTGGCAGTTTTCACAGCAGTTTGCCTGGCCATAAGTGTTTCAAGTTCAGACATCAACACTCTTGTTTTGAACAAAATCTGAATGCAACTCCAAGAAGTCCTCGCATTTAACAGAATCCCTCTTAAGTTTCATGACATTCTCAACACTGGCCTTAAGAGCTTTCAGCTCTTTTAATGAAAACGAGTTTAAAACATTGGTAACAGAATTCAGATCCATAGTGAAGGAAAGAGGGAGGAGAAGATGGCGGTGAGGGAGGAGAAAATGGCGAAGTCAATACTGTAGCCCAGGAAGTAGATGCGTTGCTTAGGATACAAACGGTCACGTCATAGTCTCTTCTATCGCTTTGACATTGGGACCTCAAATTATTTGTTATATAGTAGTGTTGAAAGTATTAAAACGGATAATTCACGAAAATTCTACAAATTCTACAAATTTATACATTTATCTCCAAAAATTCAGTAGAATTTCTGGGCACATATTTGAGATATACATTTTTTGTAGATAAATGTAGATATTTGTAGATTATTGTAATGGATAATTCACGAAAAAAGTGGATGACATTATCCAAATATCTACAAATATCCACTTGCCCCCCCCCCCCCCCCCCCCCCCCTATATTTCTATGTAACCATATAATATGTTTATTGTTCATGCAACCCAGCAACCTGACACGGATCTGTACAAAATACTATTACTAACTCAAAATAATAATAATATGCTATCAATTAGTGCCAAGTGGGATATTAACAATGTACCTGGTCAGTGGTCAGTTCAGCACCGCGCGCCAACAATTGTTTAATTCATATTATCTGCGCAAAATAACTTTGCGCAGGTAAGAATGTGGGCGACAACAATGCGGACAGGCACATATGTATGCTCGCACGCTCACACGCACGGTCGCAAAGCTACCATATCAAAAAAAGCCTCGTTCGCTAACCCTTGTCCTTGACTCTTTTGTGTCTTTGGCACTTTGAGTCATGGATCGGGAAAAAATATACTCGTTTGCATTACGAAACTAGCGTCTAACTCTAGACCATTGAAGCTGAAATAAACCTGGAATCTGATAGCAGTGAGGGGGTGAGAGGAGGCGATAGTGCGGATACAAGTACCAGAGTCACATCTCCAGAGTCGGGCTGTACCGTCTACTGACACGGACAGGAGGGAGCTGTTGTCTATAGACCAGTCCATATCCCTGTCAGATGGAGATGTTACACAGAAAGATAAACATACAGACAAACAGACAAACAGACAAACAGACAGACAGACAAACAGACAAACAGACAAACAGACAAACAGACAAACAGACAAACAGACAAACAGACAAACAAACAAACAAACAGACAAACAGACGAACAGACAAACAGACGATCATACAAAACACATTATTGAGAATCAAGGACACTTCTACTTTCCCAATGTGTTTTCCGTATTCAAGTTCCATGCCCTCGAGCGTGATGGGTACTTCCAAATGATAAATTTATTATTTATTTAGTCGTATTCCGATTTAATATTTCTTTGGGTAAGGTCATCAGGTTAGGCCATAACTCCATGGCTTCAATAGCCCTCGGACCGCCTTCCTCGACTAAGTAAAGGTTGCAGGGAAGTTTAACAGCCGCCTGACATAGTGACAATCTTCATGTCATGTCTAACAGTCGGTCTAGAAGCAGTTTAAAACTCTGGAATAATGCCATTATGTTTCAAAGCTATGTTCATATAAACATATTGGCATTGTTCCAGAGTGTTAGACATGACATGAAGAATGTCACTATGTCAGGCGGCTCATACCTACCGCTTGGTTGAAAGATCAAACGGTAGGTCAGTATAATCAGTATGTGTTTTCTCTAGTTCTGAAATTGTAAACGAGACAAGGATAAGTCCACAATTTCTCATTCGAGTTCAATTAAGAAACTCATATATAATTGGTTCTTGGTTTGATTTATAGTAAAATACCTACCAATTTACTGGAGTTGAATCTAAGTGATGAGCAATTTTATCAACATTTCCGGTGCCTTAATCAATTCTCTACCATCGCGAAACTTAATACCCGCTCCCAATTTACATGCAACAAAAATCCCACTTAAAATTAATTAACATCAACTACTATACTATATAATATGTACTCATTTATGATAAATCATAAAAATTAACTATAAATTATAAATAAAAATAAAAAATAAAACTAAATTACCTAACAGGACCGGTGTGTCCCTCTAGCACACACTTGACACTGTAAGGAGCAAGGTTACAGAGGGAGATAGTGAAGTCGTCTGAGCAGCATGCTAGTAGAGTACAGCTGTTGTGAGCAAACCGCACCAGCCTCACCGCTCTGCAAATGTGAACAATCACCAACATAGACATAATAGCCATTACTAATAGGGAAAATACTTTTTGTGGAACGTAAAAACGATGGAAAATACTTACAATGATATCCAAAAATTACTGATTTGAATCAATGTTCGCAATCCAGACAAAACTGGAGAAGTTGCTTACTTGGAGTGCTGGTCGAAGATATGAGGCATGTCTGTAAACGCATAACTGTCCTTATCAGGCTGAGTAGCAGTTCTTATAGGAGTGTGGTGTCTTCTAGGTGTCAGCTGATTTCCCTTCTTACGACCTACACGTGGGGTTCTGGTTTAAGGTACTTACACGTGGGGTTCTGGTTTAAGGTACTTACACGTGGGGTTCTGTTTTAAGTTACTTGAAATGAAATGAAATGAAATAGAGTATTTATATCCCGCTTATATCAACAACCAATATTATTAAAAATAAAAATTGCCGACTTCAAAGCGGCTGGCGTGGTGACAAAAGTGATAATTTAAACTCCAGAATGCATGTATATTCCCAGTAAGTGTAAGAGTTCATGTAAAAATGGCCAAAAAATATGTAATATCTATTTTATTAGATAAGAAATAAACCATTATATCTCACTCATCTTTCTCACAAATTTTACCAGTCCTGATAAAATAACGTTTATTAGGATTTTCCGTGACCTTCCTCTTCAAATCTAGAACCAACTGTCTATGTACTTCACGCTCCTCCGGCGACCGATCCGGTGAAATAAAGACAGTTTTGAAACACTGAGACAGTCTGAGTTCTTTAGCTTTAATCAGTATCTGATGAACGGTGCTAGAGCTTCCAAATGATACTTTGACAGCTCTATGTTTTTCAGCAGCTTTATTCCCAATTCGAGCAGCTTCAAAGCGTGGCTTCTCTGCCATTTGTTCAAACACATCGCAAATTTTATCCCCAAGTTTCTCTCCTGCTTCCTCCTTTAGACCAAAAATCAACACATTTCTGCTGCGATCCTCTTCAGCTACCACATTCTGAACTACTTTCTTCAAGTTCTCTGCTGTGAAAGTGGATGCAGAGCTGGGGGAGTGTTTTGACACAGCAGCACTGTAAGACTTAATCTCAGCTTGAACAGTATTTTCTACAGCAGTTTGAACAGTTCTTTGGACTGATTCTAGATCCTTAGTCTTAATGTCCAAGAGTTCCCCTTGCAACTGAATAACTGAATTCTGAGCATTAATCATGTCACTTTTCATTTCCTCTAGTTTTGTTGTCGCTGTTAGAAAAGCTTCCTTGTATATAAAAATATTCTGAAATGCATCAAAAAGGTGCTTTACTAAAACGTCCTTGTTTGGTTTCTTGAACTTGTCTAATGTAAAATGACTATCTTCATCACAGTTTATTGTCTTCATCACTCTCAGTCCAAACACCAAGATCATTAGCAGCTTCACCAAACATGGTCAAATATTTACATGACCACATTGTAGAGTCAAAGTCCACATTTCCCATAATGTATTCAGAATTGTACAGCACCAGACACAAACTAGCAGCTGAGTCGTCGTTAAATTGTAGCGATAAGAGATGAGATAAGAGAGCTCAATAATCAACGCGTAACAAAACTACACACTTACATATACTTACACGTAGGGTTCTGGTTTAAGGTACTTACACGTGGGGTTCTGGTTAAGGTTCTTACACGTGGGGTTCTGCTTTAAGTTACTTACACGTGGGGTTCTGCTTTAAGTTACTTACACGTGGGGTTCTGGTTTAAGTTACTTACACGTGGGGTTCTGGTTTAAGTTACTTACATGTGGGGTTCTGGTTTAAGTTACTTACACGTGGGGTTCTGCTTTAAGGTACTTACATGTGGGGTTCTGCTTTAAGTTACTTACACGTGGGGTTCTGCTTTAAGTTACTTACACGTGGGGTTCTGCTTTAAGTTACTTATACGTGGGGTTCTGGTTTAAAGTACTTACACGTGGGGTTCTGGTTTAAGTTACTTACACGTGGGGTTCTGGTTTAAGTTACTTACACGTGGGGTTCTGCTTTAAGGTACTTACACGTGGGGTTCTGCTTTAAGTTACTTACACGTGGGGTTCTGGTTTAAGTTACTTACGCGTGGGGTTCTGGTTTAAGTTACTTACACGTGGGTTTCTGGTGTAAGTTACTTACACGTGGGGTTCTGGTTTAAGGTACTTACACGTGGGGTTCTGGTTTAAGTTACTTACACGTGGGGTTCTAGTTTAAGTTACTTACACGTGGGGTTCTGGTTTAAGTTACTTACACGTGGGGTTCTGGTTTAAGTTACTTACATGTGGGGTTCTGGTTTAAGTTACTTACACGTGGGGTTCTGCTTTAAGGTACTTACACGTGGGGTTCTTCTTTAAGGTACTTACACGTAGGGTTCTGGTTTAAGTTACTTATACGTGGGGTTCTGGTTTAAAGTACTTACACGTGGGGTTCTGGTTAAGTTACTTACACGTGGGGTTCTGGTTTAAGTTACTTACACGTGGGGTTCTGGTTTAAGGTACTTACACGTGGGGTTCTGCTTTAAGTTACTTACACGTTGGGTTCTGCTTTAAGGTACTTACATGTGTGGTTCTGGTTAAGGTACTTACGCGTGGGGTTCTGCTTTAAGGTACTTACACGTGGGGTTCTGGTTAAGGTACTTACGCGTGGGGTTCTGCTTTAAGTTACTTACACGTGGGGTTCTGCTTTAAGTTACTTACACGTGGGGTTCTGGTTTAAGTTACTTACACGTGGGGTTCTGCTTTAAGGTACTTACACGTGGGGTTCTGGTTTAAGTTACTTACACGTGGGGTTCTGGTTTCAGTTACTTACACGTGGGGTTCTGGTTTAAGGTACTTACACGTAGGGTTCTGGTTTAAGGTACTTACACGTAGGGGTTCTGGTTTAAGTTACTTACACGTGGGTTTCTGGTTTAAGTTACTTACACTTGGGGTTCTGGTTTCAGTTACTTACACGTGGGGTTCTGGTTTAAGGTACTTACGCGTGGGGTTCTGGTTTAAGTTACTTACACGTGGGTTTCTGGTTTCAGTTACTTACACGTGGGGTTCTGGTTTAAGGTACTTACACGTGGGGTTCTGCTTTAAGGTACTTACACGTAGGGTTTTGGTTTAAGGTACTTACACGTAGGGGTTCTGGTTTAAGTTACTTACACGTGGGGTTCTGCTTTAAGTTACTTACATGTGGGGTTCTGCTTTAAGTTACTTACACGTGGGGTTCTGGTTTAAGTTACTTACACGTGGGGTTCTGCTTTAAGTTACTTACACGTGGGGTTCTGCTTTAAGGTACTTACACGCAGGGTTCTGGTTTAAGTTACTTACACGTGGGTTTCTGGTTTAAGTTACTTACACGTGGGGTTCTGGTTTCAGTTACTTACACGTGGGGTTCTGCTTTAAGGTACTTACACGTGGGGTTCTGCTTTAAGGTACTTACACGTGGGGTTCTGGTTAAGGTACTTACGCGTAGGGTTCTGGTTTAAGGTACTTGCACGTAGGGGTTCTGGTTAAGTTACTTTTATGAATAGCAGATGATGGGGTATTTCTTTGAATGTTAAGTTTGAAGATTTGATTATTAGATTTTAACAAATAAGCTCCTAAATTTTTGAGACCTAATAAACATCCTCTTGGTTGATACAGAAGATCTATGTGCTGCAAACTAATATACTAATATTATATAGTTATATATTCGTTGTAACTTTGTTTGAAAAGCATTAATACTTGTTCAGATCTGAAAACTAATATACTTTAAGAGACTGACCAGTCTGCGGTGTGCCGCTAGGTTGGGGAGCGATTATATCCAGACTGTCCATACTACAGGTTCTACTGTGCATACTGCTCGCCCTGGACCCTGCCCTGTAGTCTGAGGGGTTAGTTTGGGGTGAGGATGTTGTTAATACTGTGTTATCGACACGTAGAGTTAAGTGTGTTCAACTAATTCACACAACTTAAGGGGAGATACACGTACACCAAAAACGTTTTTGCTCCGAACATCGATTTTATTTTATATTATGGTTAAATAGACAAAAAGAATAAGATTGCACACCTTCAAAATTTTCTAAAAATATTCCCTCATCGAGAAAAAAAAATTTTTCTTTTTCGAAAATTTTTAAAATTTGGAGAAGTCTGTCACTGTAATACCGATAGTCTTACCAAGCTGATTACGATTCTGTAAAAATTATTTCAAAAAAACTGATACTTTTTGGGTTATAGGCATTTTAAGCCTTAAATCTGCCTTTTTTGCCCTTTTTTACGATGAATTTTACTAAGTCGTTTGAGGCCACATTGCATAGCTTTAAACTCAAATCTGAGAGAAATCCTACTCCAAAAAGTTTGATATGATCATCAGCTACACTCACAAGAATTTTTGAAGCGATATCTGCTGACCCGGGTGATTGGTGAAATGTACAACTTTAGAAGTGGGAAAAATTTCAATTTTTATTTTTTCGACCTTGTTTGGTCTGTAACTTCGTCATTTATCGTTCAATTATATAATCCTTTCAATGGCTTCTTGTACGGATTGTAAGTAATGTTCAGTAAAAAAATCAGCCAACAAATTTGAAAATGGCCGAACTATCGGTATTACAGTGACAGACTTCTCCAAATTTTAAAAATTTTCGAAAAAGAAAATTTTTTTTTTCTCGATGAGGGAATATTTTTAGAAAATTTTGAAGGTGTGCAATCTTATTCTTTTTGTCTATTTAACCATAATATAAAATAAAATCGATGTTCGGAGCAAAAACGTTTTAGGTGTATCTCCCCTTAAGTTAGCAGTAAATATAAACAACAGCTGAAATATAATGTACTTTCAGTGGAACATCAATTGAACTTTCTCAAGTTTCCACATTGCGCTCAACATGAAAACTAAACATACCAGATTAGATGGTGTGAGAACAGAAGGATATTTGCTGGAGAGGAGTTACCTGGTTACCTGGTTACCTGGTTACCTGGTTACCTGGTTACCTGGTTACCTGGTTACCTGGTTACCTGGTTACCTGGTTACCTGAACAATGCACAAAAACATACCAGATGGTGTGAGAACAGAAGGGTATTTGCTGGAGAGGAGTTTAGATCTCAACTGGAAGTATCTGTCTCTGTCACTCCTCTCTCGTAGGAGCTGTGATCTGAATAAAGGGGTCGTGAGAGCTGAACTATAATTCGTGTTTATTCACAATTAGACGTTTAACAAGTATGCATATAGGATATTTAGATACAGTACGAGAGATATCAGATAAACTTTGACTAAAATGTAAGAAGGTTATAATTATGTATAAAATATTTCCTTGCCAGAAAATAACGGTGGAAATTATTTCGTAGGCCTTAAATGACTCCTCCGGATCCAGGCTCAACCTTAAATTTGACATCACTCACTAGCTGAAATAGCCCTGATATGATTACGTCCAATTAGAACCTGTAAGACTGGCCTTCAGCTCGCCATTTTTGAGATTCAAGCAAATCGAGGATGTTCAAAGAGTGTATATATGAAAATTATTTCGTAGGCCCTAAAATGACTCTTCCAGATCCAGTCTTAACCTTAAATTTGACATCACTCACTAGCTGAAGTAGCCCTGATACGTCCGATTAGAACCTGTAAGACTGGCCTTCAGCTCGCCATTTTTGAGAATCGAGGATGTTCAAAGGGTGTACGATGTTCAGCTGGACAATATAGTTGTGTTTGAGTAGAATTACCTGCGTCTCATGTACAATGTCTTGGTGTGAGGTGCTGTGTTCCGATTGTTGTTGTACCTAGTGGGATTACAGGCATTACAAAGGTAGTTTATCATTACTTAACAAACATGTTTACTTTGAATTTGATTTACCCGGGGAAAAAAATAACATTCCCATTTTTACCCAATCACTATGACGTCACAATCACTATGACGTCACAATCACCATGACGTCACATATCGACAATCTGGAAGAATAACAATTGTACCTAGCATCCAGAGCGAGGATCTGCTGTATGTTCTGTTGCTCAGTGAGGCTCACTGAAGGGATAGTCATATCTACCCTCCTGTTTGCTCGCTCGGTTGTACGTGTGTACGTGTGTTCGTGTGTTTGTTTGTTTGTTTGTTTGTGTTTGGGAGAGTTAAGACTTTAAGAGAGCTATCCAGGGAGGTATGTTAACATTGCAGAACGTTTCTAGATGATGTTGTGTTGATGTTAAAATATTTGCCTATATCGAGTAGATTTGCATTCTTGACATGATTTCGATGCCATAGATTAGCAAATTCATTAAGTTTAATTTACCCAAATATTAAACAACCACCTCAGATCACTCATAGTAACAGTCCCAGAGATTATATAACAGCAGTAACAATCTATAGACACTTTAATACAGCATAAATTCAACATACTTTAAAATACAGGACCCGCCTAAAATACTGATCATGTTATATAATAAATCACTAATCACAGCAAACATATTACATTATTAATAATATTAATTAATAATAATAACTACTAATAAATACTAATTCAGTTAATAGTAATTTAGCAGTTGTTATGGCGACTGGGCCAACTCTGATTTTGGATACCAACTGACATAATTTAAAGTGTTAAAATACTCTGGTTTATACTGTACATATTTGTGATAAGGAATGTTACAAACTAACGTATTATAAAGTTATTATAATATATAATAAAAATGAACATTACATTGGTACCTTTAACTCTGACACTCTGTACATAATATATTATTGATTCTGTGATAATTTCACGTGTAAAACAATGCATCAGCAAAACTATCTATAGTTAATGTAAACTGCAGGAAGATTTGGTATGTACATACTTTGGGGCATTACTGAGACTACGTAAATAATTGCCCTGAGGCACTAAACCCACTACCATTGTACAATGATGAGTATATCATAATCTACACTTCACTGAAAAGGGTCCCCAGTCCTAGCTGCAGGTTTGATAGGCCTCTCATCAGGGTTCCTAATGAACTGATCTCCACTCTGTCTAATACTGGGTCTGGTTGCTGGGCCTAGTTGAGATTGTCTCAAAGCAGCCCCTCCTTCTCCCTGACCTGGTACACTGTTAGGTCCTAAACCTGGCACGCTGTTAGGTCCTAAACCTGGCACACTATCAGGACCTACCACCGGGCTAGGTGATTTAGGGGTTCTCTTCCGGGGTCCAGCTTCTTCAGGGGGCTCTCCCCTCTGAGCCCCCGCTTTCTGGGGCGTCTGTCTCCTGTCTCCTCCAGCCACCATGTTCTGCTCCGGGTTAATAACCAGACTCTCAGCAGGTTGGTGCACCTTGAGTTGATGTCTGTCAAGTACCGGGAACAGAGCAGCTCCTCTCCCTGTACAGGTCGTAGTTCCAGGGACTCGGGTAGCTGGAGGTCCATGGTTAGGGAGTCCTAGGGGAATTGTGTTAGGGAAGTTCTAGTCTGTTACTACCTGGTAGGTATATTGTGTTAGGGAGTTTAGGTTGTCTTCTACTACCTGGTAGGTATATTGTGTGATTAAGTTCTACAAACATTGAAACTCAACACAGTCAACTGTGACATGCTTGTGCATCGATATTAACATGTTGACTTTTCAAAATTATCAGATTATTCTATTTGGAATTAAATTTGATGTTAGAACAGAAAATTATAAAACTGCCGATTTTAAAAACATTATCTTCCAAACTGTAGTGTAACAGTGAAATAGCTAATAAATAAATTACCAAGATAACCTAATAAATAACAAAAATAACCTCATAAATAACCATAAATAGCCCCACTCACCTCTTCCTCCTCATCCTCACTGTCCCCCACAGTAGGATCACCCTCGCTAGCAGGGTTACACATCTGATCTAAACAGTACTGTAACTGTGTAGAGGTCTCTGAGGGTGATATCTCTATCAGCAGCTTTATAGACTCCTCCAGTCCTACTTCTCGAGCCTTCTCTCGGACAGTTTTCATGTTCAGTGCGCTGAAAATATAGGGCTGGAGTCACACTTTTATAGTGGCGTGGTAACACATGATAAATCGGGCAGCGGAAAGTAGTATATTAACCATTTTTATAAGGTTGTAGAAACTTGAACATGATGAATGAAGGCATATATTATATTGTATATTGTATAATAATATAAAGCACACTCCCGTACCTGAACAGCACTCCGTTAACATACTCCCTAACAAGACCGGCCTCATGTTCCATCAGCCCCTCCACTACAGTGAAGAGGAGAGAAGTGTTCTCGGAGAGGAATATTCGACCTCTAGTCCTCAGACATAGGTTCATTAGTAGTGCTGAGGTGTGGTGTAGTGTGTATTCACCTGGACAAATGTGTCATTATCACAGAGGTCGTTTTAATTTTGAATTCAGACCGATTTGTTTTGTCGCGATTACAATTTTGTCATTCGAGCTACCCAGTTGCTGTCCCGGTTTACTATCAGCTCCATTGCTTAGTAAGCTATAAATTTCCTACAAAATGCAGGTTCAGTAGGAACCACTGCTGTATATATCAGCCAGATATTGATAGAAACTGATAGAACACTGCATCTGACTAACTCAGTTCATCAGGGTCTGATAGCAGTGTAAGAAGCCATGTCATCATGTCAGGTGTACTCAACATGTGACTTTGGACTGCCCGGGTTAAACTCAGCGTCTGGAGAGCACCCAGCACCACCTGGAATGTATAAAATGTACAATGTATAAAATATATAATGTATATTGACTGGTATATTACCTGGTACAGTGATTATTGAAACTTAGTTAGCACCACCTGGTACAGTGATTATTGAAACTTAATTTGAAACAGCACATTCGTCATTATAGCTCCCGATAATATACATTCACAGGGTCACAGGGAGCATTAATCGACTATCAAAACACTAATGAACATTATATTATTATACAACAATATTATTATTACACCAATATTAATTGATAATTAATTAACAATAAACCTGTCTGATGACGTCATCCTGTGTTGATGACGTCAGAGATAAGATGAGATGTGAAATGAGAGGTGTGTGGGCGGAGAGGTAGACACAGCCCTCACTCAGTGCACAGAAACAATGGATTAGACGGGTGAAGTTCTCTGTTAGGGACATTTCTGTGGAGAGAGAGGAGTGTGGCTTATAATTGGAAATATATGGCGGGAAGGAGTTAATCCGATATAATATAACAGTAAAGACTTGTTTTAATAGTAAATAAAAATCTCGAATATTCAATATTAATAAATGATGTATTAATATATCATTCAGAACTCAGAACTGTTAACTTTGAAACATTCTGATTTGTTCGGTAAACTAAATCTTAGATATTCCCACATTTACAGGATCTAAACTGACCGGCATCAGCTGAGATAAAAGAGTCGAGTATCCTTATAGAATAGTTAGAGTCATCTTTACCAAACAAATCTTCTCTAACACACTGTGACAGTAAGGTCTCTCTCTCAGAGTCAGTACTAGATTTGGTTATCCGCCACCTCACTGCCTGCACAGATAGGGGTGTATTAGGACGCAGTGTTTAATAAGCACGTTAATATGCACATTAATAAGCACGTTTATAAGCAAGTTTATAAGCAAGTTTATAAGCACGTTAATAAGCGTGTTTATAAGCGTGTTTATAAGCACGTTTATAAGCACGTTTATAAGCATGTTTATAAGCACGTTAATAAGCATGTTTATAAGCACGTTTATAAGCACGTTTATAAGCACGTTTATAAGCACGTTAATAAGCACGTTAATAAGCATGTTAATAAGCATGTTAATAAGCACGTTTATAAGCACGTTAATAAGCACGTTAATAAGCATGTTTATAAGCATGTTTATAAGAACGTTTATAAGCACGTTAATAAGCACGTTTATAAGCACGTTTATAAGCACGTTAATAAGCACGTTAATAAGTACGTTTATAAGCACGTTTATAAGCACGTTAATAAGCACGTTTATAAGCACATTTATAAGCACGTTTATAAGCACGTTTATAAGCACGTTTATAAGCACGTTTATAAGCACGTCTATAAGCATGTTAAATAAGCACGTTTATAAGCACGTTAATAAGCACGTTTATAAGCACATTTATAAGCACGTTTATAAGCACGTTTATAAGCACATTTATAAGCACGTTTATAAGCACGTTTATAAGCACGTTAATAAGCACTTCTATAAGCATGTTAATAAGCACGTTAATAAGCATGTTTATAAGCATGTTTATAAGCATGTTTATAAGCACGTTTATAAGCACGTTTATAAGCACGTTAATAAGCACGTTAATAAGCACGTCTATAAGCATGTTTATAAGCACGTTTATAAGCACGTTAATAAGAAATTAAATTACCTGCAACAGATACCCCGCCTCAACATCATCCCCTCCACACAGGACCTCCTTTATCTTGGGCATATCCAACACAGCAACTGTCTCGAACTGTTCCTCCTGGGTCTCCTGTTTACGTGTCTCCAGCTTCCGTGTCTCCATCACCATGCTTTGTCTCAACATGTTGGACGCCGTACCTGTGAGAAGTATAAGATTATGAGATGGATATTCCTTTAAATTACAAAAGTTGAGCTAGATTGAACATTTATGAATAAAAGGTAATTGAATGAAAGGTAACCGGGGTTACATTGACCACAGAAAGTTAGGGTTGTGCTTTGAAAGGTTGAAATATTTCACCGTTAGGGGGGGGGGGGCTTAGTAGAGAATAAGTGGGTAAACTACATGTCAGTTCTTACCAGGGCGAGTAAAGTCAAGGTGATGTATAGAAGCTGAGACGTCTTGTTGTTGGAACAGTTGGATACAAACTCGCTCAATTGTACTCGGGTCTACCCCCTTCCCTGGGGTCAGGAGAAATTGCAAATCTTTCAGAGAATATTCTATTCTTCAGAAAGTTTCAGTAAGATATATCCCCTCGAATTTTGGATAGTTGTGAAGAATTTCGGGTTAAAAATATGTCGTAAAAGTTCAGACATTTATCTCATATTATGGTGACATAATTGGTTGTACCTAGAATCGCGTTCTCCAAACTCTCAACCAGCTCAGTAGCAACTGCCAAAACATTATAATACTCTTTCTGTTGCTTAGCAAACATGCTCTTATACTGGATACACTTAGCTTCCAGCTGCTGTAATCTCTTGTCTGTGTGTTTGTCTGTTTGTTTGTTTGTTTTCTCTACCAGCACCTCTAGAAGTGGTGCTCCTTGCTGAGGTAATAAGAGATTAGGATAATAAATTATGATAATTAATTAGGATAATTAATTAGGATAATTAATTAGGATAATGAACTATGATAATTTCCGCTGTCAACTTCTCAGCTCCAATAATGATATTGATACAGAACCTCATGAAAACCTACAATGAAAACTCCAGTACCTGGCTCAGCAGTTGAAACTTTGAAAACGATAACACTGATATTTTATATTTTATATATTTTATTTGTCCGCAATATAATTACACTTAATCAACACTAAAACTGTACCTGAGGAAGGACTGTTTTGAGAAAAGCAGTGACCCTTTCTTTAAGACTGCGTCCCCAGGCAGGGTTCAACAGCTCCTTAATCATGAAGTTATCCAGTGGGTGCTGGGAGATTGAGGCGAGGCCGAGACAAAGGAACCGAGCGTGTGCTGAATTCACTATTATCTGATGGGATAGTAATATGATTTAGTTTTAATTGACTTATATATTCTAGTTAAATAAGCTAATAGGTGAAATCGGATACTACTGTAATAAAATTGAAAAAATGTTGAAGTTGTTAAAGCAATTCAGCCAACTCATCGGGAAATCTGTGAATCTTGTAACCTTAAATCATATTATGAACAGTTCACGTAACTTTTGTTTTCTCCCAGCCTCATAACAGTCCTAATTACAAATTATTAAAAAATTACCACCAACACAGTATTCAATTATTTTCATTAAATTACCTCATTATTCAATTATTTTCATTAAATTACCTCATTATGAGCAGCTATTTCCTCCAGATACTGCACAAAATTGCGGTGTTGCAGTCTGAACTGGTTAATGTTTGGGTTCCCCCTCAGGGGATACGTCATGAAGTAGAGGTTCAGCTCGAATAGCAACAAGATGCAGGTTTTATCGAGAAGTTGCACTTCTTTGGGGACCAGACGGGAGAAGTTTGTCAGGAACTCTTCAGTTTCACCGTTACTGAAATTTGAATAATTTGAATAATTGTGTCATGATTATTAAAAGGTCTGCAGCTGCTCTTTTGTCTTAGTCGCCATCCGTTGTCAGTTGTTAAACACTATTATTATCGAACTTTACATAAATCTGAAGTAGTTAACAATAAACATCCTAAAGATCTGATAAGTCTACAACGAAGATCGGTAAACCTAACACGGTAAAACTGACACAATTAAAATCATTATCAGCCTAATAGTAGTTACCTAGTTACCTAGTTACCTAGTTACCTAGTTACCTAGTTGCCTAGTTACCTAGTTGCATAGTTACCTAGTTACCTAGTTACCCAGTTACCTAGTTACCCAGTTACCTAGTTACCTAGTTACCTAGTTACCTAGTTACCTAGTTACCTAGTTACCTAGTTACCTAGTTACCTAGTTGCCTAGTTACCTAGTTGCATAGTTACCTAGTTACCTAGTTACCCAGTTACCTAGTTACCCAGTTACCTAGTTACCTAGTTACCTAGTTACCTAGTTACCTAGTTACCTAGTTACCTAGTTACCTAGTTACCTAGTTACCTAGTTACCTAGTTACCTAGTTACCTGAACATGAGGATCAGCTCGTTGAGATGAAGATCAGCCTGGAGAGAGTTGGTGGAGTTGTCCTTGTGTTTGGTGGGTTCGGAGAAGGTGTGTCCCGCATTGTTAACATCTATCTTTAGAGTTTCTAGTGTCCTGGTGATGCAGTGAGAGTGAGTGGGAGTTATTTTACTACTGTAAGGGGTCGTTCACATATTACGTAATCAGCTGAGGGGGGGGGGGGGGGGGTTTCCGAATGATTATTGATTACGCTAGTGTAATTTTGACACAATAGCTATGTGTAAAACTGATTTCAGAGGGGGGGGGGGGGGGGGTAAAAATGTTCCAAAAAATGATTACGTAATATTATGTGAACGACCCCTAATATCAGTGGTGTTATTTGTGCCGATAAGGCACGTAGTAGAAGTGATAAAATATACGTTTGTCAGCTTGCATTGTAAAGCAACTGAAACTTGACACTTCGAACAAAAATGGTCGAACTTATATTCCTTTTCTTGCAAACAGCGCTTTTGCGGTATTAATAACATGAATTGTTCAGTTTTCACAGTTAACGAGTAACGGATAGGAAATTGGTCTAATCTGTAAAAACAATACATCGTATTACACAATTTACCTAGAAAAGTTGAAATGCTCCAGGTACTGTTTAATGAGCCCGAATATCTGAGAAGTTAGTTTGTTGGATCCGCTGTTCGGTGTAGACATGGTGCATCCTCCTGGTTGTAGGTTAACAAGTCAGATTGTGTTTTGATACAAGTTAAACACTAAGATGAGGAGCAGTGGATTGCAATGAATATAAACAAGGGAGAAACATTGGGGAATTAAAACGGGGGGAAATAGTGCATTCTCCAGTTCTCCTGACGGATTTCCCGTTCAATAGTCTTAGTATTCTCAGTTCTTGGTTAAGTTAGTTTAATCGCTGAAAGCTGACTCCTTGATTAGGACGGAGAAACAGAGCTATGAAATATATTTAAGGAACGGGGAGGGGGAAACTTTCAGTGATCTCTTAAAATAACAACAGGAATATCAGTTACCTCCCGTTATTAAATGTTGTTGTTATTGCCGCGGTTTATAAATGGGTTTAGAGAGGTTACTGTATGTTATTTTTAATATTTACCACATAATATGTGAGAGCAACTAGCTTTTTTAGCATTAGACGTACAAAATTTTTATTAATACAAGAACTTGTCAATTCGCATTTAACATTCACATTCAGCATTATTTCAGCAAAACGAATAGCAACTTATCATTAATAGCATCTATCTCAATAAAACCATGTATAACATCGGTGTAACAACCACAACAACATTATAACTGCAAATTCGAACATCTTAAACAAAATAGCATCAAAAGCAGTGTTTTATTATTTAGGGCTACCGCGTTCAACGTTTTAACATGAAATTGCATAAAATCCCTCACGATGTATAATACTACTGCTAAAATACCGTAAAAAATTGATACCAAAACAAATTCGTAATTATCAGGCAGATACCGTTAGTCATCTGCAATGTAAAAACATGATTAACTTCACTTGAGAGTAGACATATCAATCTTTAACTGGCCGGTGTGATATTTCTGCCACCTAACGAGCAATCAGTAACGACTACCACATATAAAGTTAAAACTGTCATTCTGAATGGGCGCCCAAGAACATTAAGTCCCAACAGGACCTATGAAGAGGAGTATTTCCACGTAACATCCCGGAGAAGGGTCAAAGAGTTCAAGTTGTCTGGGACTTGAGTGTAGGCTAGTTTAAGGAGAAGTAGTCTCGGACTTGACACTGAGAGTAGACTCGGTTCTGAGTCGGTAGGAGGGCAGATCGTGTTGTGTCTTCACGTGAACCATCAGTGCGTGTTGTTCCGAGTACTGGAGGAAAGTTTGAGACTTGAGGAAATCTGTTCTATTTTTAGGTTGCCAACTTAAAATGTGTTTTAGTAAATTCGTATTCTCTACAATTTTTGAAGCAAGATAGGTTTGAAGTTAAATCGATTATTGACTACTAGACATTTCGAGTATAGATTGATTTCCGATAGCAACTGAAGTAATGAATGGACGAGTCCCGACAATTAGAACTATGGGCTAGGGTTATAAACCCAATGGTTGGGGTGCTATCAGTAAAATTTAAAAATAAATTTATTGATGAATTAATAAATCTAATGTTTAATAAATACCTGGTTAGCACAGATAGGACACGTGGTGAGCTCAGCGTGGGTGCATATTATGTGTTTAGCGAGCGAGGACTCCTCAAACGTACACTTGCACACCGGACACTCCTAAATAGATAAATATATAATATTATATTAACATAAATAAATCAAGTTTTATACAATTATAGTAAATGTAAATCTCTTCTTCCAGATATGGTTCACAATATAATAAAGGGAGCATCTAAAGTGCTGTAAACTGTACATGTTTACCTTTATATGGATCTCGTACACATGCGTCTTTAGATTCCGCACCTCCATAAACACCTGGACAGTTTAGCTGTTAATATTTACCAAAACAGCCTCAAACAAGAAAGCCTGTGATGTAAATTGTAAACATATCATATGATATTCCCCTATATAGGCTATAACATCTACAAAATCTTGACATTTTTCTTGCAATGATAACAGAACTAATGGTATTGCTCCCCCGCCCCCCCCCCCCCCCCTCTATTCCTCTTACCATGGGGCAGGTCTGATGAGCGATACAGTTCCCACCCCCCCCCCCCTCTATTCCTCTTACCATGGGGCAGGTCTGATGAGCGATACAGTTACCACCTCCCCCCCCCCCCTCTCTATTCCTCTTACCATGGGGCAGGTCTGATGAGCGATACAGTTCCAGGTCTGCTGGTTCCTGTGAGCGGTGGAGATGTGTACTGCCAACTGTTCGTTACTTCCAAACATAACATTACACTTGCTACACTTCCTGAACTGTGGTCGTAGTCTGTACTCCTCCTAGCACAGGGTTCAGTTTACACTTTTTTATGTTAAATAGGTTAACGAACGAACATATTTATTCTATGGGTTTCTGTGATCACAGAGTACAATTACTTTATGATGTGTACGTCTGGCTATATAATTATACACTACTGGACATGAGTGCTGTTTATCAACTCACTATTGGTGTTCGTTCTCTCTGTGTCTGCTTGAAGGGGGGTGAGATGGTAGAAGCACGTCCAGAAGATGAGCTGTAAGTTGTACTGGGTCCTGGAGCAGCTTCCTCTAGGTCTGGTCCGGGTGTAAGAGGCGGGGTAGTGTTTACACCCATTGTTCTGAAAAGATGTAAGGGTAAACAGTACTCGTTTTCCAATATGTACTGCGAAAATCAATAGATAATAAACATAAAAATATAAAAGTCTGGTTAAAGATGTACCCGGCAGCAGATATTTTGATCTTCTTTGCAGCAAGTTGGTCACTTCCATCCTCCTCGAAGTCTCTCTTCAATGGTTTTTCATCAGATGGCATGAGTAATAATCCAGGTGCTTTCAACCGGAGTCTGATAATCTGGCTACTTGTCAGAACATTGTCCAGGACAGGAAATGGTCCACTTTCGTTTGTTGCTGTGGGAATTTTATGATTAAAACCGTTCCTGTGATAAATCTTTTGTGTAGTGTACGAAATGCTCAATTACCGTGACATTTGACCCGATTGCACACACTTCTAAAATCCAACTTCATCCGAATTTACTATAAACGGGGGCAAGTACATAAGATGTTATTCCAATATATAATCAAGAGGCTTACATATGAACACATTGACATGGGTGTAGAGTTGAGCCTGTACGGAACCTAGTAGTTTCAGTTCCTTGTTTAACTTGCCGTACAGCAAGGACATTCACTACTTTAGCCCGGCGAGGCACATAGCTCACACCACAACTCCGTGTCAAATGTTTCATATATACTAGCCAAGAACACAAGATATATCCTTGTGTGTTTGGGAAGCGCTCATTACCGGTCATTACATCATTACTGATGCAGTCAGGCAGAACTGCTTCCTATATATTCACTATTTAAGGCCCCTTCCAGCCATTGCCACCTGCCACCTAATTTGGCAGGTTTTACATTAAGACTGATAATCAATTTGAAGTCTTAAAATGATTCCTGCAAAATTAACCGAAAACCTGCCTATTTATCGTATTCGTGCAGAGATTTATCTCACGTAATTATTTAATCGAGTTGTTGATTTATAGAAAAGCCTGCAAAATTAACACAAAACCTGCCTCACCTTTCACCTACTCTCGGCAGGTTTGCTCTATTTTGGCAGGTTTTCCGTTAAATATAAAGTCGAATGCTGCAGATTTAACGCAAATCCTGCGTAAGTTGAGATAATTTGAATCAACTTGTGGCGTGATTAAACCTATATTGGCAGGGGTTTTGGATAATTTGAGTGTACAATGTGGAATACTGTAATGATCGTATAACCTTATTACTAGGTAGGGTGTAGGACTGAGACTTGGTTTGTGCAAAGCTACAGAAGTACAGAATGATACATGCCTACATGGCTCTATAGTTTATACTTTTATACATGCAGTCACTAGTCAGTGGCGAAACGACCGCCCGACACTCCGGCAACCCCTGCTATGCGGAAGGGGATGGGGGGGGGGGTGCAGCTGCGGCCTCTTAGGTACGTTTCGCCACTGCATATTATCCACTGTTACCAACACGGGGTCTATGATAAGTTTGAGTATAAGTTTGAGTATAAAAAATAATCGGTTTAAAAACCGATTATTGGAAAATAACTGTTTGCTTAACTTCAGTTCTTAGGTTGCCATTTTTAGATTAGATTGCTATGTTCTTAAGTAGTGAGGACAGCACTTTTTCAGTTGCAGTGCCTCTACCTGTTCATTGTTCACATTGTAAGATTTAGTGAATGAAGTGATTCTGAAAGAATCTTCAATTACAATTAATATAATAGTTCTAAATATGCAGTTATTTTCAGATTATGAGATATTTGATCGGAAATTTGTCACACGTTAAAGTGACACTTAATAAGTTGGACCTTAATCGAAATTCGTATTCACGAATTGGAAATAGCTCGTACTATAATTTATAGGTTGACCTCCCACATATGCTCTAAGTGGGAGGTCAACCTATAACTCAAATTATTGCTATTTACCAATATTAATTGATCACTGATGTGGCACTTTCAGCGGAAAATTAGTAATAGAAAGCGGACAAACCAGTTTTGGTGAAGGATGTATATCTTATACTCTTATAGTAGTTGTACACTGTACAGCAATGCTAAGGTAATGAGGTAATGCTGTAATGGGACTACTGCGGACCCTCTACCGGCCAAACATATTATCTCATTATTGAAGGGTGTAGACTGTAATATAGATGTAAGAACTTGCTAAATTGGGAGGTGACTGTTTTAAAACGAACAGATGCTTGCTTACTAACTTATTAAGAATGAGAGGTGATAGTGATTTACTTTATCTTGACAGGACAGTTAAGTATTTAAGCTTAAGAAACCACGTGGAGCTAAACGGTGCAAGTGATACAATACTTGAAAATTGACCCCCCCCCCCCCCCCCCCGACAATTGACCAAACAAATATATTTATTATACTAACCCTAACAGTAACCCGATTGGGCGACATCTGTCCGACAGCCGAATTGGGGATTTCGGACAGATTTCGCTGTCGGACAGGAGTCGTTTTTGGCGACATCTGTCCGAATTTCGGATCATATTGTAATTTCGGTTCACATTCGTATTTCACAAACTCACGGGTAATTTCGTGACGTTGCTCCCATTGTTCGAATGCTGATTTGATCCATTGAGATCTGATCCATCGATACGTGATTGACTATTTAAGGACAGGATTGTGCTAGCCGTACATTAACAAGCTGTCGATCACATCACAGGACACAGCCTACATGAGTACATATAGGATAGCAGCCGTATGGAGATCAGTTATCGCAATCCACAATGGCAACCAATCTTCAGTAAACAGACCCAGATCTGCAGCAAACAGACCCGAGAGATCTGGAAACGCTATCCATTCCTGCAAACTAAATCCTCTCTACCGACAACAGTCCAATGATGCTCTGGATGGGACGAACAGACTCGTCGATCATTCCTTTGGGGGACTCCTAAGAACGCAGATCATATGGTGGACGCGGAGCATTGCGTAGTCAACGCCCAACGGTACCTTCAAATCCGCACCTAATCTCTTCCATCAGCTCTTCACAGTCCACGGACTCTTCCCTGACGGCTGGCACCTCCCCCTCTTCTAAGGACTCATTCCTGGAAAATCGACGACCCTCTACCGCAACATGTTCGAGGAGATAGACACCTGGGCTTCTGAGGCCTTGGGGCTACCAACCACAATACATTCTCATGGACTACGAGCTCGCCATTCACAACGCAGTTGCTTCATGCCTGCCTGCCTAGGTCGAAAATAAACTAGTAGTACACTATGGCTCAGATCATATCTCAAATTGGCAATGTTACGTATTCAAATTAACAGTTCAGATCACGTCTCTAATTGGAAATGTGTTGTATTGAAATCAGATCACAATTTCGGACAAATGTCGTTTTTTCTGGTACCCTGAGTCGGACAGATGTCGCTGTCGGACAGATGTCGCTGACAGGAGTCGTGTTACCCAGTAACCCTAACCCTGACCCTAACCCTGACCCTAACCCTGACCCTGACCCTAACCCTAACCCTAACCCTAACCCTAACCCTAACCCTGACCCTAACCCTGACCCTAACCCTGACCCTAACCCTGACCCTAACCCTGACCCTAACCCTGACCCTGAATTGACCCCAGTGTAATTACATGGGGGGTCAATTGTCGGGGGTAGATTGCATCAGGGGGTCATTTGTCGGAGGGGGGGGGGGGGGGGGGGAGGGGGTCAATTGTTGCGGTACCGTACTATATAAGTATATAGCGTACTATACCTCTCATTTGGAGATTCAGTGCCATGGTTGTCAGCTTTTTATCAACTCCGGCCAATTTCTTGACTGCGCTAATCAACTCGGTTTTATTGACTTTTAGTTTTGGTGCCAAATAAGCAAAATTCCAAATAACTTAAGAACTTAAAAGAAAGATAAAAGAAACCTGCCAATTTATAAATTTAACGCTGCCATAATAAGATTATAGCATTGTAATCTATTTGGCATGGATTGATAATTTTATAACAAATCCTGCAAAGTTAATGGAAAACCTGCCGATTTAACTTTATCACTGCCGTAATCTATCCGGCAAGGATTGATAATTTTATAAAAAATCCTGCCAAGTTAATGGAAAACCTGCCGATTTAACTTTATCACTGCCGTAATCCATCCGGAAAGGATTGATAATTTTATAGCAAATCCTGCCAAGTTAATAGAAAACCTGCCAAATAACAAATACCTGCGCTGTTGATGCAGGATCACTAGTTAATTAGGCAGGTTTTGACATAAAAAATTAAGAGAAAACCTGCGGATTTAGTGTAATATACTGCTGATCTGGACAGGGTAAATTAGATTACTAGGCAGGAGTGGTAATTTCGCAGTCTTCGCTATTAACTGGGCAGGTTTTAGGTTAAATTCGCAGTGGCAATGGCTGGAAGGGGCCTTATTTAGTTTGGTCCACCAACAATGAACAAACCAGCTCAACTAGTCTCGATCTACAACTTAACCGACACATGGTAACGAAAACAGCAGTGCGCGGGAAGAAAGTCACGTGACTAGAAAAATATGTCCCAAGATTCTGTCATCGCGCCCTCCGTGAACGAGGCGCGCGCAGACATGCATAACAAATTTTATACGCTCGACAACTTACGTACAAGTTTATATTATGAGGACAAGTTACAAGCAGCCGATGCGATGAATGTACTACTATACTCGATGGATACTTTTCGCATAGGAACAAATAGAACCAAAAGGAATTGGTGCCAATTACAGAGAAAAATATAACACAACTTCTTCAATTTTCGAAGTTAAACGGCGTAAAATCAGGCGGTTTAATTCTGGTGTGATTTTTAGCAAATTTTGACATGTTGTCATGGTAGAACACAATTATTGTACTATTTTATATCAAGAAAAAGCACTTACGTCCATAGTTCATTAGCAGATCGTAAACACCCTGGATCAAGTTGTCGAATTGTTCCATTTCTCGTTGCCTAGAAACGGATATAATTACAGCTATGGTTATGTTCTTACTGTCAAGTTCGTAGAATATCAACATAGGGGTCGTTCACATATTATGTAATCACTTTTTCGGTCGGGGGAGGGACCCCGGGGGGTCCGATTGACGAGCGTACTAAATCACTCAACACTCGAACTTCGAGATTTTTCTAAGGGGCCCCTTAAAACCTAACACGAATCGATGTATTTTGGACACTTCACATGACATATGGTTAAAATTCTCCCCTGACGAGTTATCGGCGAAAAACTGTTTCGATCACGTGAAATTACCATATGAGGAAGTTGGTATTTTCTCGTTAGGGTATTTAGGGTAAGGGTTTTAGCATATGCTTCAGTTAGGGATTGGGTTAGGGTTAGGGTTAGGCTCAGAGTAGAGGGTTAGGGTTTTGAATAGTCCCTCAGGGCCAGCTAGAGAACGTGTTCAAGTAAGTCATGTGATAGTCACGTGTAGAGTGATTAATCATGATCCTTCTACTGACATCTGATTGGTGATTCTCTCGCTTATTTCGATAAGGAATGGCACATATAAAGTTTCCAACAATTTCTCCTTACATAAACTTACTCTAAAAAATACGATTAAAAGTGGATTAATGCTGTGGTTATGAACTCAACAATGATGTCACGTGCACCATAACGTCACATGTATAATGACGTCATATTTACAATGACGTCACGTGTACGATAACGTCACATGTATAATGACGTCATGTTCACAATGACGTCACGTGTACGTGTACACATCCACCACGAGGTTCACTAATAACTACATGATGGTACTAATGTACACTCTGGTATATAACGCACTTCCGGCCCATGTCCACATGTTAAATCCTGTCACACACTACAAAATATTATTACATACTTTACCTGTCAGAACATTATCCACGTGTGTTTGTGCGTGTGTGTGTGTGTGTGCGTGTGTGCGGAGTAACTGTACTCTCATTCAGTGTTCATTTTGGTTATTGGAGTCCTTGATTTGTTACCACGATATTAATGATGCCTTTCAAAATGAGTGGGTTCAGTATTCAACACTAGTTTCCTTGACAGAAGCACAAATTTGAAGTAAAAAGAGCTGGCTCATTTTCCGAAAAAGAAGTTGCCGCTTCACCGAACTTATCAAATTTAAGTAGGAACAGTGCCGGGACATTTTCATTTGTTATCAATGAATTTAAACGCATGGGTTTTTGGTTCAGCACAGCTTCCTCGTGACTGATAAGAAGTGGTAAACTGATTTCCACAATTAAATGACATGGAACTGATAAGCAAAACTGCCAGTTTCCATTGCTATTCAACACACTTAGCAATAGGAGATTAGAAAATTAAATTAAATTCTCGTCCCAGTTTTTTTCAAGTTTAAACCTAAAATTCCAACGATTGAATAACAGGTCAAACGAGAAAAATGGTGATATGAATTATGCAGAAATATTTCTAAATGGGAGGTTTAATTATGAATTACACCCTAATTAGCATATTTTCAAGATCATACCGTGCAATTCCAGATCATGTTTCGTGCAAATCAGTGGTTTATTCATTTATCACACATTTAGGTAAGTAATAGAGTTAACACTGAACAATCCCCTCAAATTAACCTTGTATAAAACTAATAGGCTCCTAAAACGTAACATGACTCATTTATGCAATTATTATTGAGTTTGGCACTGTTACAAGTGAAGCCGTACTCGACTCAACTGCTAAATGAAAACAGTACATCAAGTCATCTCAGTGCAGAATCAAAAGAATCAACTGCTCTGGTATTTATACAACAATTAATCCACAAAAATATGCATACTTTGGAAATTGGCAGAGGTTCGTGTTTTGACGAACACGTCGGAGAAGGAGGCAATCTAATAACTGAATGTAAGATAACATGTTTGGTAAACCTTCAAACTTAAACCAACAACCCTGATGCTACAACTACAAGAATAATATCACACAAACAGTACAAGAGAAATAAAGACAAGGATAAAACAGGTACACACATAAACATTCTCACATTTACAACCAGATAACGCTCTTATCTCTCCCTTATCACTGATCACGCAGTCACCTCTCACGTTACACAGCCAATCAGTGGCCGTTTTCACGGTCACGTGTCTCCAAGGCAACCAATCACAGAGCTTAGCCCCTGCACGTGATGTCATGGCAACCAATCAGAGCAGGTACAGATATCACGTGATCAGAGCTTATCGATTCGGGAGATATAATTACTGGGTATTTTATGCAGGGTTACCATTTCTACCCCCACTACACGTTGCTAATTACTAAATTGATAGCGGGCTGAGCTCGTGGGAGATTGGGATATTGAGTCCATATAAACTTGTTGACGGAAAATAAATATTAAATTAAATATATGGGCACTTGTAATTAATGAATCCCTAAAGATTTAATTCTAATTTTCCGTGGAACCCAAATAAGATTCTTAAATATCATTTCAGATTGTTTTCTAAAAATAACGTTATATTTCGTTTGATCACTGCACGTGTAGCACATGATAATAACACGTGACACAATATCACGATGTCAAGTGACTCCACTTAGGTGATAAGCAAAACATAATACCAGCCTACTTGGCAAACTCACCTAACATTGTATCCCCAGCTTAAGTCCAGCAGACCACGTGTCTCCAAGGCAACCAATCACAGAGCTAAGCCCCTGCACGTGGTGCCATGTCAACCAATCACAGAGCTAAGCCCCTGCACGTGGTGCCATGTCAACCAATCACAGAGCTAAGCCCCTGCACGTGGTGCCATGTCAACTAATCACAGAGCTAAGCCCCTGCACGTGGTGCCATGTCAACCAATCACAGAGCTTGCCCGGTATTGTATCCTCTCCACTTGTCCGACAAACCATCATAACGATCACCACTCTTCTTCCTCCATAGTCCATACTTTAGTGAAACTGGTTACTCACTGCTTCTTTGACAACTGCTAGGGACAAAAATGTTCGTTAAAAATATATTTAAACTATTAAAAAAAAAAATTTTAAAAAAATATATTTAAACTATTAATATATTTAAACATTTATTAAATATATTTAAACATTTGTATCCAGAAATTATTGCGAAATACCTCATAATCTTACTCCTTCATTCAAATAATTCTAATTTCGATCTCTTCCATTACAACATCACGTACAAGTACAACACAGCATTATTACATAATACTTGTCAACGACTTGTTATTATGTGCGTTATTACCGAATCATCACGTCTTCTTATCCGCACCATTGACTAGAATTCTTATTTTAGACACGCATTTTCTAAAAGACAATATTCCTACTATAATTCTATACTGTAAGATAGTAGGAATTTCATGTTGCAACAAGGTTGTGCTTCTGTACACTATTTCATGTTGCAACAAGGTTGTGCTTCTGTACACTATTTCATGTTGCAACAAGGTTGTGCTTCTGTACACTATTTCATGTTGCAACAAGGTTGTGCTTCTGTACACTATTTCGCCAACCATCACTAAAATAAAATTTCCCAACAAATTTCTCTTTTTTCCATGATACAAAGAAACATTCCAATTTTGCGATGGTCCAGATAACTACAATAATTGCATGTTAAACTTCCCCTTCTCAGACTGCCCGGACCCTTGATCATGTTTAGTGGCCTCCCTCATGCTATTTCACATCTTGTCTTGAAGTCTGAGGACTGAGGACTCTAAATCGTGAAAAATCCAGTTGTACAGTAACAATAATACCAGATCACAGAAGAGAAAGTGTCTCATTTAGGAGTCGACAGTAAATTAGCCCCTCTGTAAATTATTTCACACCTTCAGTTCTTAACGCTTTGAAAACTTGAACATTGCTGGAGCGTATCCATTAAGGTAGACACACCCAAACTGTCGCAGATCTAAATGGGATTGTGTAATTCTCTCATGCTGTAGAGAAAATGTCATTCTGAATCCAAATGAGAACAAAATGGCTTCACTGTATTGATAATTACACTTCGTAGCGACATGTGGCTCAAAATGGATTTTAGATTCGAATATGAGACGACTAGCCGGTATGTTCAATTTGAAATCACTAATCCGTAACACTGAACATTGTGCAGTTAAATTAACATGGGCGGGACTAACAATAGTGTTTCTCCGAAACAATTGTTGCAGATGGTTCTCAGTAGTTACTGTTTTCAAATCAGTCGCCACGTAGGATTGTTAAGAAATTATTTCGTATTTAAGAAGCTGCCAAGGCTGATTAAGGTATTGTGAATGTTTTCAACATTTCATAAACTCTATACTGTTTATTATTTGTGGGGGGTTCATATCCTTAGTATTCTTGAATCACAAGGGTCCACGAGGAAAGTCCTTCGTCACTCTTGAGTAATTATAAAGTAGGTTAAGTAGAACAGAATTTTTCTTGCTTTTATCGCCGTTTTTAAATTGCAAAAACGAACAAATTCTGGGACGAATAGCTAAAAGCGATGTGTTACTTTCAAATACTGCATATTTTAAGCATCTGTTACACTTTTCAATATCTATTCCTGTTCTACTATAAAAGTTGGATACATACTACATTAGACTAATATTCTTTCACATTATAACTTTATAATATTAAAGGTAGACATGGCTTCTAAGTTCCAGATCCTTCTCATGATAATGATGTTATCACTCTGCTACTCTGTAAAGGCCAAGAGCCTTCTCCAGGACGAGAAGGCACTTCTGTTGGAGAAGAGGGCAGTCTGTGCCAGTTTCTTAACGAAGGTGAGAAGAGCAACCTGTATATGTCTGGAATACTTAGACGAAGAATTCCTAGACTGCACGAATCGGAAAATAACGAGACATATACGTTGTAATCGGGTTCAAAACGTCAGAAGTAAGAAGGGATGCAGACCGAAAGAAGTGCACGAGATCCACTAGAATTTGTATTCTCTCGATAATTTATATTTTCTTTGTCAATACGAAACCGTTGAAACTGGTATTATTTTCTGCTACTTCATTAAATTTTTCAATCAAAACGTTTAAGCTCATCGTGAGCAACACGAATGGAGCAACCCACGGTCGCCCATAAATAAAGCAAAACAGAAATTCGATTAGAACAAAATAAATGGGGGTCGACTAATGAACATTCGCAGGTCTGTTTATTTTGTGTATATTTTCGGGTGGTCGAACCATGTTCATTCGCCGTTGTCCTAATAACTCAAAATAATGTAGCCAAAGCAAAAATAAACAATTTTTGCCAAAACAGAAAATTCTTTCCGGCAAGTGTATTTTATAATATATATGTAAATATAAACCAATAATATTCCGTTGAAAAAAGGGATTTTATATTTTAATACTTATGTACTGCAAATATCATGAATTTAGATAGTAACACGCACGGACAACTCTCATATTAAAATATTAAGCTTACCTCTCATTAGAAGTCACAAGACATTTCCACAGCTCACTCACAAAGTGTTGAGAATTGTTGTTGTCCACATCGTACTTTCTACCAGAACACGAAGTTTTGTAAATACAGGTATTCAGTTCTCTCAGTTTCATTGGTTTATTCATCAAAGTCCATTCTTCTTCTTTGAATTCGGTACTGACCAAAAGTTTATCTTTGTATACAAATTTCTTAGCTCCATTTTTATGATCTACCACTCCGCTCATTGATTGGCTGACCCATACATTAGATAAGTGAGATGGCGTAATGCTCAATGCTGCGATCTTCTTGTCACCAGTGAATAGAGCTACGAATGGTTTGGATTCTCCCAGTCCCACAGTATTATTTGTATCGATACACTCAATATCTCTTGGGATGAAATCACAGTCATTGAACTGAGCAATAAAGAAAGCATGCTTTTCACTGTCATTCACGTTAACAGTACCACGTGCTATCAAAGCTTTATGCTCAGCCATCACTCTTGTCTGGTCTGTTGCCCATATTGATATATGCGTGAAGTTGTAGCCATCACCCAAGTGCTCCATGAACTGAAGGAGCACTGAATCTATTTTGTAAAGCGGAACCTCCTCCTCCTTCTTCTTCTTCAACAGTAGAAACGCTGCTACTACTACAGCACCAACTGTCAACACTATTTTAACTCCTCCATCCCATATCAGTCTGTAATAAGTTTCCATGCTGGGGGGGATTGTTAATTTCAGGAACTAAGGTTTGTTACATCGCCAATTTGCACATTGGAAAGAAATAGTGACAGCAGCATTTTATTTAGAAAAGCATTTTATTCAGATAAGTCGTGTTCAACAGACTGAATTTAACGATGGGTAGGTGAAAGGTCTCAACGTTGACCTAAGTTAAATCCATAAAAGAATTATCGTTCACTAAGTTATAATTGATAGTTAATTTATTAACTTCTTAATTAAAGGTTAGGGGAGAGTTTCGCCGTAATGTTTGCTTATTTTAATGACAATCCTTTATATTGGTAGGAATTTACAGAATTTCTGTAATTTTGAAAATAGGAAATTCGGTAATGTGGCAACGCACGGTTAACGCACGGTCACTTAAGGCACGGTTAACGCATGTGCGTTAACCGTGCCTTAAGAGACCGTGCCTCAACCGTGCCTTATGTAACCCTTGTGCCTTAACCGTGCCTTAACTGTGCTTTAACCGTGCCTTAACCGTGCGTTAACCGTGCGTTGCCACATTACCGAATTGCCAATTCTTTTTTTTTAAAACAGTAATACTCTGATTTTACAACCGCAAAAATATAATGTTTATTATATCTGTAATCATGATGTACAAAATCAGTGAAGCAAAATCAGAGGATGCGAATCAATTCTAAACTTAATTTTATTGATACTACTCCTAGCTATTACCTATTAGACATTAGTCACCATACGTTACTACACATGTTATCTATACGATCATACAAATGTTCTATTTTATAAATATAATAATCTACATAGGAGATTCTGTAAATTTGCTAATTATGATAGCAGCTGTTCTAGCAGCTCACTGGACTGATTATACAGTCCTGGAACATTTTCAAACAATGATTTCTAAATAAATTTTCATAAATAACTGAACCCAAATAATTAAAGTCTATCGTTACTATTAGCTACTTTCAATATCAAATACCAGATCTAACAATTATCACCATTCATTACGAATGAATTTCTGTCAACAACACTTTTCGGTCAAGCTACCATCCTATTTCAAATATCAAACAAATTTTGTTTGACATCTTTGACACGTGTTACACAATACACGTGTCATATCATTCCCAAAGATAAAATCCATAAAAATCTCTACTTAAAGCGGAACCCGGAATTTGTGGAGGACAACCAAAGCATCAGAAGAAAACAAAATGGTTGGTAGGTTACATTGAACAGAAGCAAAAAGCAAATTAAGTCTAGCATCAATCAAGGAAAAATCAAATTTTAGTTCTTAATCATTGAGATAATCTCAATGCACCTAGTTTGCTTTATTTACAGCGTTACATTCAAAAATCGATTTAATTTTAGGAATTCGTCATTCACAAGACATAATATTAGGTATGAAATAACAATGCATCTAAGAGGAAATAATGATTAAGATTTAAGGAATTAATTATAGATAATTACAAACAAAAATGCTAGTTCGTTGTAGATGTTGGATTGTTCACAAAAAAAATATGCCAGTTTCTACCTGAACCCGTTCCACTTGAAATTGAATGTACTCTGATAAAATCATCTCTTAATTTAAGGTCCATAATCAATCAAATCATTATTTTAGTAGCTTACAAAGCCAATAACTAGCGCGGCTATTAACAAGCTTTTTAAAATACTAAAAGATATCTTGTCCTCTATCCAGGTTTGGGAGTTAAGCCGTATTTGCCAGGCTGCAGGAATGTCTCTATCAAAGTGTTCTTAAGATCAAGCAGTTGCTCAGCCAGTACCTTCTTACTCTGCTCCGAACCAGAAGGACTTATAATCTCAGTGTAATACTTTATCTTTGGCTCCGTTCCAGATGCACGTAGAGTCCCCACACAGCCGTTGTCAAAGGTAAAGGTCAGCATCTGCCCACTGGGATCCGTGGGTAGGATGGACTTCTTGTCCTCGAAACTGCTATCATAACCAGTTGTAACGTCTCTGATACCTACTATCTTGTACTTACCACAGTGGGTCGGATACCCCTTGTCTCTCAGAGCTTCGAACATGGTCACTATAGTTGGAGGGTCAAAACAGAGATAGTAAGAATCATTGGAGATGTGGTATCCGTATTTAGTGTAGAGAGACTGGAGGAACTGAGACAGAGAACTGCCGCTGTCGTAGAGTTTGGAAGTGTAGGCAGCAAGTACTGAGCCTGCTGAGATACCATCTTTATCCATGACATTAGTCCCGTACATGTACCCAATACTTTCTTCGTACCCGAACAGGCACGTGTAGCCCTCCTCCATTTTGCGGAGAGCGTAGTTTGCCATCCACTTGAACCCTGTTAGGCAATCTTCAAACAGGAATCCTTCCTTTTGACTCATGGACCTTAGGAATTTGGAAGAAACGGTACTGGCAACCATGTAAAGTTTCTCATTAGGAAAATTAGGGTGAGTGGATTTAAAGTTCTCGTATGCAATTGTACCCATTATTGCACCTAACTCATTGCCATTGAAAACATACCAGGAGCCGGACGGTGATCGTTCCGCACAAGCCAATCTATCAGCATCGGGATCATTAGCTATGATAACACTGGAATTATTAGCATCAGCTGCTTTCATTGCTAGATCTAGAGCACTTTTACCCTCTTCAGGGTTTGGGAATGCTACCGTGGGGAAGTTCGGATCGGGTTTGCATTGTTCCAGGACTGACACGAATGGATTTAACCCGAAAACTTCAAATGATTTCTCCATGAACTTCTGTCCAACACCATGCATGGGGGTGTAAGTAAACTTTAATTTGGAGGACTTGAGAGTGTTTTTGTCATCAACCGCATAGCTTTCAACATCTTTGTAGTAGTTACTGTAGATGTCATCGTAGGGGTCACTCCTAAGTTTAGATGTGCCCAACATATCAACATTCCAAGCGTCAGGTTGAATCTCAAGGTTCTCTAAGATATGATGTGCAATGTTTCTATCGTGGGGTGGAATGATCTGGGCTCCGTTCGACCAGAAAACTTTGTAACCATTGTCTTCCTTGGGGTTGTGAGATGCTGTGACCATTATTCCAGCTGCTGTTTTGTATCTACGAACTGCATAAGCTAGGAATGGGGTGGGAGTGATGTCAGAGAAGAGGTGGACGGGAATTCCGAGACGGACCATAGCAACGGCAGCCAACTTAGCAAACCTGATATAAAATAACTTTAGTTGGCTATCACAATTAAATGGTTGGACACAATATTTACAAGCACTGAACTAAATCCTAGGCATTAGAGAGTTTTATAAATAACTTTAATTTAGATTATCAACGTATTTATTACCAATAATATTATTATCGTCGTGTTAACACTAAAGACTCACCTTGACGAGTTGTGTCGAGCATCAAACCCTATAGCAACACCATTCTCTCTGACAAGAGACTCCTGCACTTCCAGCAGATATTTAGCAAACCCCTGAGATGTTTGGATCACTGTCACATCATTCATACAGGAATATCCGGGTCCCATCCTAGCTCTCAGTCCAGCAGTTCCGAATGCCATTCTTTTCGTTAACAAAGCTTCAAGCTCTGTGTGTTTTCTCTCTTTGACCATGCCCAAGAGGGCTGCACAGGTACTCTCATTCTTGTCTATATTTAGCCAGCTTTGTATCTCCTCATCCAGTTTACTGGAGCCTGTTTTAATGTCAATATCCTTGACGATGAGATCTTGCATACTATCCCTAGATAAATTAGAATTGTTAGGTAGATAAGATTTTAAAGGTGTGTTGGTATGTAAGTATTACAGTTCATAAAAGGGTAAGATGATATTGTAATATTTTAATTGAAATTATTGAATTACGATAATGACACCCGGTTCAAATCTTTGCATTTTTTAAGTAAGATAAGTTTTAAACTCCAAATCCAATTCTTTTTAATTATTTATCTTAAAAAATCTTACTCCTAATGTACCTAAACAAAGCACAAGATTTTAAAACTGGGATTTCTTTTTGAAACACTCTGTTTACAATGCACGACACAACCAAAGCACAACATTTTAAAACTGGGAATTCTTTTTGAAACACCCTGTTTACAATGCACGACACAACCAAATCACAAACCTTATCACTGCAGAAAATTCCAAACAAGAAAAAAAAACTCAGCTCTGACAGTGAGTGCCCCCCCCCCCCCCCACATACATGAGACATATGATATGTCTGCTAACAGCATAACCGTGGTCAAGTAATCTAGGTAAATCTCATATCAGTGATAAAACTCCATTAGTAGGCTGTGTTGTAATTATTTAATTATGTGCTAGCCAGGGTAAGTTGAGATATTGCAGATCGAATTATTTTCAACCTCGTACCTAATCAAGTGAGCTGCTGAATGACGTTCTTTCAAACAGCTCATCTGAGTTGTACAAGATAATGATGTAAATCAGGCACAGGATGGTAGGTAATGTTGAAATAAATCTATCTTAGATAACTGAACATTCCCTACTACTTCGTAAGTAACAAAATGTTTTTTCAACTTACAACCTAGCGCAGATTTTTACATTATGCTACACTATACTGTGAACCTTTCACTTGAGTAACTCATAGAATAAACATCAATAGCAGGTGCTATATAATATTACTTTATCAGTAATTCAAACAACTGTACATACGGAAATGCCAACAATTTTCGGCCGAATTTGCCTTAACTTTGTGGTCGATTTAATAAAGATTCAACAAACCATTGCAGCGATTTTCAGAAGTCGAAAAATGGTGATGAGTATTATGTATATTATATATAATTATTTTCGTTATTATAACATGTCACGATGGCCGAGTGGTCTAAGGCGCCAGACTCAAGAGCAATCTTGCATTCGTATGAATGAGCATTCTGGTCCACGAATGTGGGCGTGGGTTCAAATCCCACTCGTGACAACTTTTATAGTTGTGTATAGTGTAGTTAACTCAACAGTCAACGTGTATACCCTTCTACAACAGTATGTATAAACTTTTCACTTGAGTAACTAGAGTAAACATTATGAGTGAGATATTACTTTATCACTAATTTAAACAACTGTACTACGAGTATATTCATGTTGAATTAGCACGTCAAAATGTTGTATACTGTATTCTTCACATTTATTGTGAACACAAATCAGTAACTTGTGTGTATTAATTATAGTAAACAATTATTTACACACTTTAGTTTATTGTATTATAAATACAACAATATAATAAGTATGGAAATAAATAAGTTCAATAGTTTAATAACCAAATCGAACAACATCACTATTTACAACAAGAAGCATTTCATGTGATGTGAAACCACACCACTTTGTACAGTACATGTGTTACCCACAAATAGTATCAATAACAGATTATTGCAGTAATGCAACCATTACACTACTGACTACAAAGCAATAATTGGATTTTATCGGACAATAGTTTCTATTACCAGTTCCCTGCACCCCACAATATAATACCTGGTCTCTGTGCACGTAATATAGCACAGATTCTTTACTGGATGCACGCTGAGATACTTGCTTTGGTAATATTCTTCGAATTCCTGACTTCTTAGGAGACTGGGGATATTAATATGATTCTAAAAGTTATCAGAATAACTGCTTTGATGCTTTATGTTGCATTGCAATGTCTCCTGATTCCTGTGAAAGTGATGTTCCTGATACACAAGTCGTGGAGAAATGCTATTATTCCTCATATAAGGTATGACTAATTTGAAACCAAGACATGTAATATATTTCATTTATCAATTTATCGTGAATTATGATTTGACATTTATAACTTTTTAATAATGTTTATGATTAATTTTAAGATAAATCACACTTAAGTTGGAATATGAATAGTAGATTTATGACTTATTTATGATTTCAGAATACAAATGATGCAGAATACAGCTATGTTTTCCCAAAAGATTGGCCTATGCAAATTCTATGAGTTCATTCGCTTCTTATACGAAAAAGCAGTCACAGTCAATAAAGAGTACACAGCATTTGGAGATGGTATCATAGCATTGGAATGCAAACCTAGGAAGCAGAAACCTGGTGCACCTCTTGCAACTGCCCACTTAGTGCTTCATGGAGGAGGGTTCATCTATGGCTCACCTATGACAGTGGCAAAATTCAGCGAGCATCTGTGCAATTCATTGGGTCATGATGTCATAGCTCTGAAATACCCACTAGCCCCAGAGCACACATTCCCTGAACCTCTCATTTATGTTGCAAGGGCCATAAAAATGTTTTGTAACAGATACGATACAGTACATTTAGTGGGAGTTAGTGCTGGTGCAAATCTTGCTCTTTCAGCATGCTTGTTGCTTGCAGATGTTGGAGAAAAACGTAGGCCACAAACACTTACCCTGATTGGAGGACCATATTCTTTTAACACAGATGCTTTGTCTTATAGAAGGAATAAAGATGGACCGAAACTCACAAAGTCTATGATCTGCCAGTATTGGTCACTGTACATTGAAGGCAATCAAGGAAAAAAACAGGAGCTCTTCAACAAGTTTCAAACAATATTGAACCAAAAGGCATCCTCCTTTCAAGAAATGTATCAGCTGGGTACAAACTATCTAGCGTATTGTGTTCCAATCGACTCAAACTTTATTTTGGACCTCCCAAAAACATTAGTTTTAGTAGCTGAAGAAGACATTCTGTTAAGTGACAGCATTGCTCTCTACCGAAAACTGAAAAATGAAAGATCAGAGGCTCTGTTGAAGGTGTACCCAGGGGCACACATTCATCTGGCTGAAGAAAATGGTATAGTTGAGCAGGACATCATAAGCACTATGAGAGACTATTTTGTATTTTAGCATGTTTTACATGCTAGCTAAGTGCTTAAAAGCTAATTTTGAACTTTATAGCACTTAGCTCAGCCATAGTAAGAGAGTCTAGTCGTAGTTCAGCTACTGTGGAAATCGACTTTTTAAATATATTTTTATTGCTTGATTAAAGCAACCATTGCATGGATAGATAGAGTCTCAATCTTGATAAAAGTATTTTCTGTACAATAAAAATTTGTTATCCTGATCCTATTTGATCGTATGATCAGTTTCACAATTACTTTTTTATTGGTTGATCAAAACAATCTGTGTTTTAATTATTCTTTGCTTGATTTAGTTAAGCAGGATAGGAGTTGATTTTGGCTGTAAATTATCTTATCAACCTCTTCTTCTCAGAGTAAGAAATGTCAGTAATCTTACTATCTCAAACTAATTTATAAAATATGTCAATGATGCTGAGTCGGAGTAGCTTAAGTAGCCTAAACCTTAATTAAAAGATTCATTGACATAGCTAATAACTTCAAATGGTCGAGTTGAGTAGTATTACTTATAGCAAGAAAGTTTTTTTTTTGTAAAAAAATTATTCAAACAATATACACATAATTGTCACAATGACCCTATATAAAAACAACCCTTTAAAAACTCAACAAATTCCCTATCTTTTATTGCCATATTACAATGAATAATAATATCATAATAAACATAGTTTAACTTAAACATCCGATAATAAACTCATGGATATTAGATATGCTCATGAAATGTAAAATATGCTTTTTACTATATGGACACGTTCATTAGAGTTTGAGGATATTGGTAAACAAAAATAATAGCGTTTTTGACGATAGTGGCTTAATTTTGACATCTATTAACCTAGCACGTTCAGAAGTTCTGAACATTAGCCACGTAGCCCATCCTCCCATATGCACCGCTCAGAAAGAAAATCTATTGTTGTTAGGCACTATAATGTTTCAAATGTCACATTTTGTGTGACTTAGTTAACTGCAGTTGTCTAATTATCATTCTTTGGTCTGAAATATAGTAAATTAGGTCAATCTAACAATTATGATACAACATTGGTTAATGGGCACGGATCGAACGGTTACAAGGCAATATTTGGGTAACTTTGTCACACTCATGATACCATACCTCTATTCTACTGTGAGGTGTCCTAAAAACCCTTTCAACTCATTATTTGATGGTTGCTCTACCAATCATAGCCCTAAAATATGTTGTTTTGAATATATAGCTAATACAGGCACTCGGTTATTGGGAAATGAGGTTAATTCTGTCACAATATATGGAATTTAAAATTTTGGGCGAATTATTTATATCTGATTTTGGTTTGAAAGGCGGGAAAATTTTATATGATGACAATGTAGTTGATGCAAGTTAAGATCAGTTGATGTTAACATTGTCACAAAAAATTATACGAAATCGTAAATAGATTAAAAACAATGATGATAGAATGAAATAGTCTCTTATAATAACTCTTATAATAACCCTTATAATAACTGATGTGACAAAGTAAACATGTCTTGCCCCTATTTTGAAGATCTATATTCTATACCTCTATTAGAATATTGTCCAGAACATCAGAGCTTAAGTTTAACAATTTTAGGTTAAATTTGTCAAAGTCACTAAAAATGTGACAAAATTAACTTTTCATGCCCCAACAATTTCAAGATAGTGTGTAAAAATTAGCAGGCTGCTTTATTACCTATATAAATCAATCCAAACTACAAAAAAATATATGTTAATGTGATGTCGATTACCTAACTCTTATAATAACTGATGTGACAAAGTAAACATGTCTTGCCCCTATTTTGAAGATCTATAACTCTATTAGAATTCGACATTCTTTCATAAACGATTGGAAGAATATTGTCCAGAACATAAGAACTCAATTTTAAAAATTTAGATTAATTTGTCAAAGACATTGAAAATGTGACAAAATTAACTTTCCCTGCCCCAACAGTATCAAGATACCCAAGATAGTGTGTTAAAATTGGCATAGGATTTATTACAGGTATATTAAAGTATTAATCGATCCAAACTACGAAAAATATCTTTTAATCTGATGACGATTACCTAACTCTTATAATAACTGATGTGACAAAGTAAACATGTCTTGCCCCTATTTTGGCGAACTATACCTCTATTAGAATACTATGTAACTTTATCATCAAAAAAATTTCGATAAAGTAGTTATTTTGCCAGCAAGGAGCTAACAGAGTTATAATAATTTTTGGTGACGAAATTACCCTATTTTTGACCATGTAGCGGTAGTTTAATTGTGACACTGTTAACATATTACCACCTGATAATGATTT